GTTCATGCTGTTGTAGTGCTTGAGAACATGATACATATTTTGGGGAACATACTCCATAACCAAATTCAAGAAAAGTTCATCTTTACTAGTTGTAGAGAAGAAGCAATGCTTAAGAGAAACCACATTTGGGTGATCCATCAGACGCATTAGTTGCAACTCCCTGTTTTTATAACGCTTATCCTGCAAAACCTTCTTTATGGCAACTGTTTCTCCTGTTTCCAAGCATTTTGCCTGAACAAGGGATGACAAACTTCAAACATACAGAAAAAGCCCAAACTTTGTCATGTGGTGATATATAACTATATCTTACCTGGAATACAACGCCAAACGAACCACTACCCACCACACGCTCAGCCATGTAACTGATTGTCTACATTACAAGCCAGGAAAAGTCAACATCTCAGCATTTCAATATTTCAAGATTAATTTTGACTACATTTAAGATTTTTGGATCGCTATAAAATTGTATTAAAACAAATGAACCACATGTTAATAAAGTAGGTTAATAAGGATATACTGCCCCATAAAAATTTTGTGAGGTGATGGGAATGAGATTTTAACCTGTTTTGGTTCACCGTTTTTGCCACCGATTGTAGTGGAAATGATGTGACCAGTTACTGCATCATTCCCTTCAATCACTGCAGCTGACATTTCCTGGAATTTGTAGCATAAAGCATGGTAAATAAGGTGATATATACTAGATGCATAAGGGATACATGAAACATAGAGAGCTCATGCCCGTGTAAGCCTGTGAGAGTAAAACGTCAAGCCTATTTTATTGTGAATAAGAGAAGAGAACAGTTTGTAAATAAAACCTTAGTGCACTTGAAAAATTAAGTATCAACATTGTTTTACATGATGACCTACATTTAACGAAAAGCATACCTAATATAAAGCCACCTGAGTAGGAACTCCAACTACTATTCTAAGAAATAGAGTATTTGTTGCTCTCAGTTCCTAGAATCCCATGCGAGGAACCTCGTCTATATTAAACGAGAAGGGCAATGTACACAAATACAAAACTAACTTTTACAGTAATCAAGTAATTGGTGTGTCAACTGAAAATTGATGATGGTGTTTTGGTATTTGTGATAAGGATCGGAATGCATCTGAAAGAGCTGGACGGGTCTCAAAATGTAGGGTAGAAGACAGATTAATGTATCCAGAGCAACGTCTTGGGGAAGCAAAGTAGATAGCTATGACTTACAAGAAAGCATCACATGCTAGGAAGAGCTCGCATCACATGCTAGGAAAAGCTTGCATCTCCACCCAAGGAACTAAGGAGAGAATCAGCCATTAACGACTTCCCAAAGCAAATTATAATGGTTTTTAAAAAGATTTATGGAAGAGACCAACCGTAATTAAAAGAAGTAAAAAAAAGAATCAAAATTACAGAAGATGAAACTATAACCAAGACTACTAAGTTCGGAAAAAAAATTGGAGTGAGCGAGGTGTTTATGAAAAAACATCAATTAGATGATTAATTTACCATACGAAGTTCAATTCAGACACCGTTAGCACACAGTTCCAGTTAATCATCCAATCTATGACGTTAGAAGGGGAAAAAAAAAGCTGAGGATGCAATCCTACAAATCACTCCTCGGTTCTCAGAGCAATTAAACTAATAGAAGACAGTTCGAGAAAATTGAGCTCAAAGCTTAGACGCAAGATCTCAGTTAAATACTCGATCAAATACTAGACTAAATATTTCACCAATAATTTGTTAACAGATCGAACAAACAAAAATGAGCCAGAAAATATCTCGAATCAGTGACGTAAACAGGTCAATAATCGCCGGAGAGAACTTCCGGCTACTCATCCAACCTTCCAATCGAGCAAAGAAACTACCAAATAACAGTAGATCGCTCTTAACTTAGCAAGAAACAATGATCCCGAGCTGGATCGGGCACAAACAGAGCATCAACAGAAGCAAAACATCACATAGAGAAAAATCACCTATCACACACAGACTACAACAGACACAAAGCAAGAAAGAGGAAGAGAACCTTATCGGTGTCCATTGCTGAGGCACGGTGAGCGTTGAGATTTAGACGGTCATTTTCAGGTTGAGAAAGTTGTAGCAGCTGTGCTTGTGGCTGTGACTGTGACTGTGACGGTGGCTGTAGTGGAGGTTGATGGCGAGGCCCTAATGGCAAGGTAGCCATGTGAGAGTAGAGCTCTCTCTCTCGTTCTCTTCCTCTCTCTCTCTACCTCTCTCTCTCTCTCCTCTATCAAATTCTCTTTCTCTCCGATTTTAGTTTTAATATTCTTTTTATTATTAATTATCTAATTTCCTCGTCTCGTTAGGAAATATATAGTGTAGACCCACGCGCGAATTTTCGCGGCAGAAGCAGCACGCTCCAATCACAGACCTCCATCGCTGTCTTATCTAAGTCCGAACCAAAATTACAATAATCTACAGCAACGCGGTGTACTACAACTCCCATACACCCTCCCCGAAACCCTTCGACAACTATCACATGGAAATGGAACCCAACGGTTCATTTCACCACCAATCATTCCTTCGGAAACAGTGACCCAAATAGCTTCTTCTTCTTCTTCTTCTTCAAAATTATAAATAATATTATTATTTTAGTTCATATTAGGTTGATTTTGATTCACCTTAAGCTCATTGCTAGCAGATATTATCAGCTTTGACTATCTTAGACAGTCTTACGATTTTAAAACGCGTCTCATATAGACGTTTCCACACGCTTATAAGGAATGTTTTATTTCTCTCTCCAACGGGAAGGTGTGCCAGCGAGGACGATGACTCCCATAGGAAGTGAGTTGTGAGATTCCATGTCGATTAGAGAGAGAAGCAAAACATTCTTTATAAGTGTGTGGAGGCCTCTAGCTATTACATAAATTTGGAATCGGTCGCGTTGGATTAATCTCATTTCATAATTCTTAGAGTTTTTCTTTGATATTTCTACTAAGCGTACGTAACCAATTGTGGTTTCATTATTCGAGTTGCTTTTAGACCCACGCTGAAAATATCAATGAGACATCAACCTAACTCAGGTCAGAAGATACCAAAAGAAAAACCTCCATAACTACACTAAGGAAAGAAGCCATTAAATATTCGTATTTGACCTGCCCCGCTACTAAAATGACCGCATGGAGCTTACTCATCTAAAAACAACGCACTAAAATAACCAAAATCAACCCAATTTCAAACTATAGAGATTAAAATAGATATTTTTAAGGTATACGGACCAAAATGAACAACGGAAGGCATATATTCTTGAAGTTTTAGATTATAAAATGTGTATTATTTTATTTTATTCCACTCAAAAAATATCATATTAAAATGATTTAGAGAAAAGGGAGCACCTGAAATAATTAGAATTTGGATGCAAAAATGTTAGAAAATAGGGAGAGAGGAGCCCATTCATTATGCGTTCCATGTGCCTAATGCATGGAAAATGGACCCATGTGCTACTCTTCTTGGTACCACTTTGTTAGAATGAATTCTTTAACATGTCAAACCATATTAGATGTGCACATTTTGATTACCTTGACTAAAAATTCCACAATTTGAAATCTTCACATGCATTGAAATGATTTGTTCTTTCGGTCAAAATAGGATAAAAATGTTCTTATCTGCAAAGCATAATCATTACGTATGAACTAAAGACCATCTACTAGGGGAGGTTTCCACACCCTTATAGAAACAATGTTTCGTTCTCCTCCTCAACCGATCTAGGATCTCACAATCCACCCCTCCCCCTCTCCAATCGATATGGGATCTCACAATCCACCAACCTTCGGGGCCCAACGTTCTCGCTGGCGCTCGTTCTTCTCTCCAATCAATATGAGATCTTATAATTCCCCCCCCCCCCCCCC